TGAAAAGCATTACTGTATTCCATTGTTGTCAAAAGATAAATGCATACCTGGTCATGATTAAATAATAGATAATTGAGCATTGTCATAAAACACTAATTAGTTTGTTTTACAATCAAGCTTTTCCTCATTTTGACACTTGGTCATAAATTATGCTGTGTGTTTATTATATAATTAGGAAAGAAATTCTCAGTAAATATTTTGATTGGAATTAAAAAAACAAATGTATATTTATAAAAGTAAAGTTAACGTTAAGTTAAAATAAGTAGTTAACTTCATCTCTGTAATTGTTTTTAGAGAAAACACAGAGATGTATACCTTGAAACAAAGAATGCGCAAGAAGGATAAAACCTTTGAAACCCTTATGATGTTAAAATGTGATAGTCGTATTGAATAGACTTTTTACATGTATACTTCAATTCAATACATGAAACAGTTACTGCCATATGCTAGAATCTTTTGTGACTGCATGTTGTTTTTCAAAATGTTTGATTTTTCTTTTCACTTAATAATAAAATTAACAAATGTAATGTGTAATTCAAAGCATTACTTTGCAAAAGTAAATGTAATTTAATGCATTATATACGGGAAACCCCTGTAGTCAGAAGGTAATTATTACTTCAAGAACTCGATACTTTTAAAATTAAACCATGTATTGTTAATATTTTTTAATGTTTAAAAGACCCCAGCTACAAGTGAAACCGAGTTCAAATTATTTCAATTTGCCAGCAGACAAAAAAGGGGAAAAGTGCACATTTAAAACATGCAATATTTTAAAGGGGCATTTATGAAGAAGGGGTATTAACTGTAAAATTCAGGTTTACCAGTTCGACCTTTATTCTGGTATTTGATTTAAAACACACTGAAACGTATAGTCAAATAACAAAAAGTCCAAAAGACACAATTAACAATGGATGGACTCGTTATAAAGTATCAGAATTTTGTGCTATTTAAGACTTGGCGCCTTCTAATTATCGCGATGACCTCTGGAGACTGCCGACGGTCATTTAACCCGATATAAACAATGTTAAGACTGGTGGAGACAGGTCGAGACTGAGTCAAGGCTGGTCGAGACAGGTCAAGACTGAGTCAAGACTGGTCGAGCATTTGTCGAGACCATTTCAGACTAATCCACGATTATCAAGCACTCAATCAGACTTATTAAGTAAAGTCGAGACCAAAGTCGAGTACAGTTATGTACTGTCAAGATTATGTCGAGTCTTATCAAGTAAAATGGTCGAGCACAAAATATGGTCTTTTCAGACTCTGAGCAGTTTGTAGTGTTAATCTGACGAAATTGAATCATTCCGAGTGATAGTAGCGAAAAACGTTTGAAACCAAAAAATAATAAAATTTGATTGAATGTTGTCTTATTCGTAGCTAATGCCCCTTTAATCATCACTCAAGAATTCACAAGTAAACAAATGTAATTTAACAGTTTAAATCTATTACACAAAATCATTTTAGCCTCTGGACTGTTCCATGGATAATGTAATTTACAGAAAAGTGTGTACCTTGCGTAAAAGGTTGAACCAACACATTCTGATAATACAAATCAGCTATTCAGGATTCTTTATAACCATTTCAATCAACCGTTCCATGATCCTTCTTTACACATGAAAGTATGAATAATTGAGAACAGTTACCATCACTCACATAGCCCAATACTAAGAACGATTTCCGAGCAGTTAAATAGAGTGCCTAAATAAGGAAATTAGGTACTGTGATGCAATGTGGTTGCAAAGATAACATAACATCAACGGTGTAGGAAACTTGTCCAGCCTCCGGTGATGTTAATGTAATGATCTTATTCAACACTAGCTTAAGACCTAAGCGTAGTCATGGTCAAAATCATCACCTAATGTAAAAAAGTCTTCCAAATCTAGATCACTCACTGTGAGCTGTAATGAGCTTTTGGCCGATTGACTCTTGTCGTTGCTCGGTATTTTTACATCCGGCTTTCGGTTTTTTTTTTTGGCTTTTGGCGTTTCAGACGCATAAAATTTGTATAGTGTAATTTTCAATTCGTATTTATGTTTACTTGTTAATTTGTAATTTATCAGGAAAATGTGTATTTGCCATTATGTTCTACTATACTGTACTAGTTCATATTAACTATTAACTACACAAAACTATATTTGTTGGCACCTTTGTTAAATTTGATTGTATGTTTGTTTGGATTATTCACTATAACGGATCTATGTGCAACCGTCATACAAGTTGGAGGCTTCAAAGCTAGCTAAAACACCAGGTTTAAAAAGTTAAATCACAAAAATACTGAACTCCGAGGAAAATTCAAAACGGAAAGTCCCTAATCAAATGGCAAAATCAAAAGCACAAACACATCAAACGAATGGACAACAACCCACCATTTTCTTCCGGAAATGCCTGTACCAATTTAGGAATATGACAGTTGTTTCCCAGTTGTTCCGGTGGTTGATATAATCCTAGCGGTTGAATTTGTCATGCTTTATGGACTTCCCTTTTCTAATTTACGAGTTTGAATTTGATAATTTTGTTAATACATGTGTTGCCTATATGCCCGCATCCATATTCCAAGTGGTATCGCGGAACTAACGACGGACATATCTTATTCCGAATATTACTTGTGGTGTTCACTGACGTAAACTTTGGCTAACACTTCATTTGAATGCCTTTTATTTTATTCCCAAACTGTTGACCCCGCGGGCGTCACTTTAAAGGCATCAAAAAGAAAATCAACTGTTTCATCAAACAAATATGAACATTTTAAGTCGTAAAATTCAGAATGGAAATGGGGAATGTGTCAAAGAGACAACAACCCGACCAAAGAGCAGAAAACAGCCGAAGGCCACCAATGGGTCTTCAACACAGCGAGAAAATCCCGCACCCGGAGGCGGGCTTCAGCTGGCCCCTAAACAAAAATGTGTATTATTTCAATGAAAATTGACGTCACACTAACCTCCAAAACAAATAAATGAACTAAAATTTAAAAACATACAAGACTAACAAAGGCCATGGGCTACTGACTTGGGACAGGCGCTATCAAAAATCCGGCGGGGTTAAACATGTTTTGTGAGATCTCATACCCCCCTCCCCTATACCTCTAGCCAATTTAGAATAAACAAACACACAGCAATACGCACAGTAAAACTCAGTTTAAAAGAAGTCCGAGTCCGATGTCAGAATATGTCAGACTTATGTATGCAGGAAACAAATAATGTAAAATTTATCACTGACCGATAGAATTTCTTAAAAAAAATCATAAATGAACGAATCTGTACAAACTTTGGTTCAAACAACGCATTCTTTTTAAGTTCCTAAACAAACACATTTCAAGGTGTATTTTAAAACAGCATTTGTTGAAAAACACTACACTAATTTCTGGACCAATGGGCGGTATGGATATGAAAATACGTACTGTCAAACAGAAAAATGGCCTATAAAACTTGCAAAAAACAATCTTGATGTTCATATAAACCCACTTGGAAGGCTATATTATTCTTCAGCTATCTAAAAATCAATTTTATTGTACACAAACATTCATATTTAAAAAATTCACCATGGTCAAAATGCGAAACTAAACTTCTAACTGTGTATTGCTACCTTAGTCCATGAGGGTATCACCAGCCCAGTACCAGTACTTCGGTACTGGCATGGCATGAGTATACGGATATAGTATTATCAAAATTTGCTGTTTCAAAGTTTTTGAACAACCAAGAAAAATTGAATTTAAAACAAAACGTAACAACAGGCGTGTCCTTCCAGTACATAAATAATGCAAAGGAAACCTCACTAGATTTAAAGAGCGAAAAAATACCAACTCTCACAAACGAAAATCAGGAAATGTGTGTGCTAATATTCATGTTGATAAAAGGGAGCGTTAAAGAGAAGAAAAACGATCTCCAAGATAAAGCTTAATGAAAAAATGATAGTTGTTCAAGTAATGTCCACAATGGTCCAGTGGCAAATATTTCTTTCATATTCAGGACGAGAACAAATTATACAGTAAATCAATTACGTAGGTTTTGCAAAATGGGTCTGGAATAAAGGACGGGAAATTCAATTGTAAAACCGTTGTTGGAAAGGGGTAGAGAGCACGGGTTTTTTTTCAATACAAGGCATAAAATGTACTGATTAGGAAGAAGCGCATTCGAGTGGAGGACGGCAAAGTTCATATCTGCTAGTTTAGTACTTTTAGCATGCTTTCTGTAGCATCAAACATTCTTCGATATGATATTGTTTGTTATTATATTGTTTGTTTGTACTTGTGTTTTTGTGATATATTATGCCGTTCTTATAATGGTAAGTGTTAATCTTTGTCGATTTTCATTGTACTTTCTTGTATTTACCTTTGGTTTTACCACTGATCGGAATAAAAATAATGGGGGGAGTGTTGAGAATTAAAAGATCATGTGCATGTTTCAAGTCGCGAACCTCGTAGTGTAACAACTGTTTTTGTCATTTAAGGAATTTTGGTGTTGATGGCATGTTTTTGATAGACGTCACAATGTCGAGTTTTTATTACAACTTTTAAGAGGGGCGAACTAGCGCTTGATATATTATATACTATTAGACTTGTCTATTGTTGAAGATTGTTTTTTGACCTTATAATGTCTGTCTGTTTTTTTTTTTTTCGTGTCGTTATGTTGCTGTTTCATGAAGAACGCCTCCAACATCTCCTTTTATTCATAATTCAAAAATTAGATTTTCTCTTTGCATTTAAATTTTCATGACGAATTTTCTTTTATATATGATACAAACTCTTGACAGTTATTTTTTTCAGAACTTTTCCTTATGCCTCCTGGTCCTAAATGTATATATGAAACATTTGCTACTGTACGTCAATAAACGAAAAATCAATGAATGCATTAATTCAAATGAATATACATCGTAAGATAATTGCTTTCATCGTATCAGATGAAATTTAAACTATACGATGTCCATCTGTGATTTAAAAATAAACAATCGATAGAAAAATCAACCAGGTATAAATTGCTCGCTTGAATGATTTATATTATATACTAAGGAGTTGCTTACTAACAAATATGTTGCGGAAGTAATAAACTCACAAAGACAGGTGTATTTACTATGTGTTAATATGACATTTACAAGTCTTTGATGAGGTATGGTATTTAGCGAGCTTAGTTGAAATGAAGGACATTTTGTATTTGTACACGATACATGGTAAGTTTGATATATGCTCTATTTGTATGTACACAAATTATAAAGGCAGTGGCTATTCGTCCGGCTAGCAGGACAAATAGTCAAAAATGTTATTCGTCCGGCTAGCCTGACAAATAGGCAAAAATGTCTATTCGTCCGGCTAGCCGGACAAATAGGCAAAAATGTTATTCGTCCGGCTAGCCGGACAAATAGGCAAAAATGTTATTCGTCCGGCTAGCCGGACAAATAGGCAAAAAAGTCTATTCGTCCGGCAAGCCGGACAAATAGCATTTTTACAGTATTTTGCTATTTGTCCGGCCAAAATATACAATGATGAAGATATAACATCGTGTTTTTAAGGAGATAAGTAAAGGCTGAATAATTCTGAAAAATATTGTCTAACATTGTTTTATGAAAAAGAACTCATTGAAAAACCTAGGTGATTGAATTGATCACCGATCGGACTTTTATATTGATATTTATACACTCAGCTCGAAGTTTAAGTTCATGCTCATAACATATCATGCTAAAGTTTTGAATATAGATATAGGAAGATGTGGTATGAGTGCCAATGAGACAACTCTCCATCCAAGTTACAATTTATAAAAGTAAAACATTATAGGTCAAGGTACGGCCTTCAACACGGAGCATTAGCTCACACCGAACAGCAAGCTATAAAGGGCCCCAAAAAATTACTAGTGTAAAACCATTCAAACGGAAAAACCAACGGTCTAATCTATATAAAAACGAGAAACGAGAAACACGTATGAACTACATAAACAGACGACAACTACTGTAATCAGACATAATATGCATGTAAAAGTAAGCAATGGAATTAAACATTACATACTCTATCGAAATTGGACGGCGTTTCTGTCAAAATTTGGTCTTTGCAATAGCGGTAGCTTAGTGTCAAAATAAAATTACACAGATCAACGGAATCTAAAAATGTGTCAGTATGGCAGGAAAAGAGAATAACGTTTTGTATATATCTAAATCTCGGTTGCTCGTTTATTCGTTTATCTCACAAAATATGGCTTGTGCATGCATATGCATTATTGTCGCAATTGCAAGATACAAATCAGAGTGTAATTGCACTTTCTTCAAAATATACAGCTTGATTGTTATAAAATCTATGTCTTTTAGGGGAATGGGGACCTCAAATACCTCTCCCATTATATCCGCTTGTGTATTTTATGCAAATAAAGATATGGATAAACATTGAGCGCTCATAAACATGTTTAACTTCGCCACATTCTGCATGTGCCTGTCCTAAGTCAGGAGCCTGTTGTCAGTGGTTGTCGTTAGTTCAGGTCTGCTTCATATTTTTTCAAGTCGATGCCTCATATAGCCAACCATAATGTCTGGGTTGTTCTCTTTGTTGAAGGCTGAACGGTTGCCAATAATTGCTGACATTTACTTCAGAACTTTGGTGGATAGTTGTCCCATTGGCAACCATACCACATCTCCTTATTTTTCTATAAAGCTTGAAAAGAATTGAAAGCAAGTGGAGCATGACAACATGGGACACTGTCTGACTATAGGCTATAGAGAATATAAAGACGTCATGAGTTTAAAATTTAATCAGACTTGGCCACAATCACCATTGGGTATAGAGTTTTAGAAATTGTGTGCAATGACCACCCCCTTTTTTCCAACCAACATGGCCGACAAGGCTAAAAATAGAACTTCCGGGGTAAAATGCAAGTTTTTTTCTATTATCTTGAAAACTGCTAAAGATAGAGAAAATCTGACAGGGGCAGGAATTTTCAAAATGTCGAGATTTCCCTACCATCTATTTACGTCAAAACTGTCAGACGAGCTTGTGTTGGAGTTTTTGCCCTTAAATGACATAATTTTTGCCTATTATTTTAATCTCTGCAATAGATAGATATTTTACAATACAAAATTCGTAAGGGGTTCCTCGGATTCTTGCAGCTGTCAGTGTTAAAGTATAATGTTGACCTAAAAAGTGAGTCCATTTATCAGTAAATACTAAATTGAAAAAAATCATTTTTTTTTTAGCTGCTATTTCTTGATCTTGAAGATTAGCGTCTGTCCAAGTTTCATAACAATCCATGAAGGTGTACAAATTTATCATGTCAAAAGAATTCAATCCCAGATTGTCTGTAAATGTCAACTGTAAAAAACTACGTTCATCTTTCAGAAAAATACAGAATTGAAAAAAATATATTTTCAAAAGTTTGCTTCAGACATTATTTCTTAATCATAAAAAGGCTTCTGCCAAAGTTTTACAAAATTGTATGAAGGTTTGCCAAAGTAATTGATGTGTAACAAATTTTTACCCCAGACTGTAACTACTTGTTAACTGTAAAAAGATCTATGTCCATTTATCAGTAAAATACGTAAAATGAAAATAAATATTTAATTAATGAAGATTTTTTACAATTTTTTTGCATTTTTGCCATAAATCTTAAAAACTACAATCTATAGATAGAAACTTTAGAAAGCAAGAAAAAATAGATTTACAATTATTTCGTGGAAAGAAACAGTTAAATACATGGGATGAGTTTAATTTTTACGAGTTAACTATAGTAAAAATATGACAGCACAAATTATTTTAGAAGCCTGTTTTTATAATTAGCTTTCTTTGTATTATCCCCTTGGTTATATAAAAATCAATGTTATGGTGACTGCAATTTGTTAGCTATCTACACCTTGTTAGATTATTGCTCTTTAAAAAAAAACACTTTAAAACAACATGGATATACAGATTGATTTTTTCAGAAATTGCAAATTTTGACATTTTTCAACAGAATCATAGAAAAAAATCACAATCAGTTTTTTTGGTCTAAACATTCACTTATTACACCTTGGTATGCTTTGTTTTATATTTTTTTTTTTATGAAAAGAAAAGAAATATCAAAACACTTATAATGTATCAAGAGCAGAATGCTTAATTTGAAGAAACTAGAGGCTCTCAAGAGCATAGGCGGATCCAGGGGGGGGGGGGGGGGGGGCTGGGACGCCCGGGCCCCCCCTTTCGTGGGAAAAATTTGGGTGATTATATAGGGAATCACTGAAGCATGACTGGAGCGGGCCCCCCTTATGAAAAGTTCTGGATCCGCCACTGATTTAGAGCCTGTGTCGCTTACCTGACTCTACTTTGGTTTTAGATATCATGTAAAGATAGATAAAAATCATAACAGATACCCAAATAATGATTGAGGCTAAATTTGGTTTAATATTGGTCCCGTTATTTAATAAAATATCCTGGTGGCCATCTTGAACAGTAAATTAGCAACAAAGAAGCAACACTTGGTCAGCACCTCATAAGGAACATTCATGCCATGTTTGGTTTCATTCCATTCAGTGGTACTCTAAAAGAAGAAATTTGTATGTATTTCCCATAGGGTCCTATTTTAAACTAAGTCCCCCGCTAGCGGCAATCTTGGATGATGGATCTCCTGCAAAGAAACAACACTTGGTCAGCACGTCATAAGGAACATTCATGCCATGTTTGGTTTCATTCCATTCAGTTGTTCTTTAAAAGAAGACATTTGTATGTATTTCCCATAGGGTCCTATGTTAAACGAAGTCATCCGCTGGCGGCCATCTTGGATGATGGATCGGCTGCAAAGTAACAACACTTGGTCAGCACCTCATAAGGAACATTCATGCCATGTTTTGTTTCATTCCATTCAGTTGTTCTCTAAAAGAAGACATTTGTATGTATTTCCCATAGGGTCCTATGTTAAACGAAGTCCCCCGCTGGCGGCAATCTTGGATGATGGATCGCCTGCAAAGAAACAACACTTGGTCAGCACCTCAAATCATAAGGAACATTCATGCCATGTTTGGTTTCATTCCATTCAGTTGTTCTCTAAAAGAAGACATTTGTATGTATTTCCCATAGGGTCCTATGTTAAACTAAGTCAACCACTGGCGGCCATCTTGGATGATGGATCGGCTGCAAAGTAACAACACTTGGTCAGCACCTCATAAGGAACATTCATGCCATAATTATTTGGTTTCATTCCATTCAGTGGTTCTCTAAAAGAAGACATTTGTATGTATTTCCCATAGGGTCCTATGTTAAACTAAGTCATCCGATGGCGGCCATCTTGGATGATGGACCGACTGCAAAGTAACAACACTTGGTCAGCACCTCATAAGGAACATTCATGCCATGTTTTGTTTCATTCCATTAAGTTGTTCTCTAAAAGAAGATATTTGTATGTATTTCCCATAGGGTCCTATGTTAAACTAAGTCCCCCGCTGGCAGCCATCTTGGATGATGGACCGACTGTAAAGTAACAACTCTTGGTCAGCGTCTCATAAGGAACATTCATGCCATGTTTGGTTAACTATATGTGACTAGCCACTTCCAGGCTAAAGAGGGTACATTGTCTAAAATTTGCTTTTTGTATATTTATCTAGAATATTCGAAACAAAACTCTCTGTCATGTTATTATGACATATTTGTTGTAACAGCAATGAAACGAGTCATTTTGAATACCGGTATGAAAATGAGACTGTTCTATGACGACTTTTATTTATTGAAGGCACTAATTTATCAAATACAAAATCATTGTATCTATTGGCACTTAGTAATAGCGTATTTGAATAAAATTCAGAGAATTAAATTTACTACAATACAAACAATTCTTAGCTCTATTTTAGAACATGTAATTTAAACTTGTTGAAATGAAGTTAGTTTAAAATTTGTCAAAGTAAGCCTTAACGGAAGTCCTTTTTTTTTAAATTGTCTTTTAATTTAGATTTATCATGCATGTCTGTATCCATAGTATGCGACGATTAACAATTTATAAGTAGGTGTTCTCATACATGATTTGATACAGTGCATTAATTATGGATATATTTCAGACTCCATTTATGAAAGAAAATCTATAGAGCAGAGAATTTTGATTTTTTTGTAGCTCTATTTTAGAACATGTAATTTAAACTTGTTGAAATGAAGTTAGTTTAAAATTTGTCAAAGTAAGCTTTAAGAATTCCTTTCTTTAAATTTGTCTTTTAATTTAGATTCATTATGATTTTCTATAAATTGTTTGAAATTTCACAGTGATAACATACTCTAACTTTGTTTAAACCCGTTTATTTACTTTTGACTTTAATTATTTATCCCTTGTAATTTTTTATTAACTGTGTATTTGCATTCAGGCGTCACAGGTCAAATTGTTCATTGTGTGTTAATTTACGTTTTTTGATTGAGTTAAGCCTTCCAATTGATATTTTATAGTGTGTTTTTCTATGTTGTGATGTTATACTATTGTTTCAGAAAAGGGAGAAGGTTTGGTACCATTAAAACGTTTAATCTCGCTGCAAATGTTTGCACCTGTCCAAAGTCAGGAATCTGATTACAGTAGTTGTCGTCTGTTTATGTAGTTCATACGTGTTTCTCGTTTCTCGTTTTTATATAGATCAGACCGTTGGTTTTTCCGTTTGAATGGTTTTACACTAGTAATTTTTTAGGGCCCTTTATAGCTTGCTGTTCGGTGTGGGCCAATGCTCCGTGTTGAAGGCCGTACCTTGACCTATAATGGTTTACTTTTATAAATTGTAACTTGGATGGAGAGTTGTCTCATTGGCACTCATACCACATCTTCCTATATCTATCTACTTCTATGTGGTTAATCAGTTAATCTGCAGTCGAAATTTCCATAACGCAGATATACTGTGCGTGTGTGTCAACCAGTACACACCAAGTTAAAAATAAACAAAAACTATTGTGTATTTACAGGAACAAAAACAAATAGAATTATGTGATGTTTGCAACAACTGTGCAGGGTTAAAATAACAGGTATCTATATATAGTTACGCCAGGAACTGCCACACACAGACCCGGATTTTCAGGATATATTTACTTATCAATATATATATAATTATCTTCTCAAAGAATGAATTGCATATAATTCTCATATTAAAATGTCCGATACCAAACGTTTTCCAGTTTGGGGACCCCCCACCCCCCCCACACCCCCTCTTTTCGTTTGGTATGGGACATGTTAAAAGTCCATGCATAACCATTAATATAGCTCCATAAGGGGGGCTCGTCCCCTGGGTCCCCTCCTAAATACGCCTCTGCATTTCTCAGAATAATATATATTAAATATCTAAATAACAGCAAGGTTAATATTTATATTATATTAACATGGTCTCGACCTGAGAATGCACTAAATTTGTGGCTGCAATGGACGTTTAACACCCATCCATTATCATCATCAGCAACTGATTTCTACTCAAAAAGTGTGTGTATTGAATATTGTTGCCCAACTTCCAAGTTTTTATAATAATTAACACTTATTTGTCCATACTGATTGCCGATTGAGCAAATACATATTGGATACTAACCTACTGTAATCATGGTAATGAAAGCCAAAATGCATATATATGTGTATTACAATTCCCGCCGTTTCTTCTTGTTACCTGTTACCTATTCTGTAAATTCCACCTTTTTCAGATGATCCACTTCAGTGGGAAATCCTCTTGAAGTGTAGTATCCGTTAAATCAGTAAAACAAAAAAAGTCTTACAGTCCCGGAAATGACAACGCTCTTTGTACCTTTCTATAAAAGAGCCATTTTGTGGGCGTTAATTTATGAAAAGAGGCGTGTCTTAAAACCTCATTGTGCTGGTTACCTCATTGTGGTGGTTAACTATTAGATTTGTCGAACATCTTTTGCTGGCGGATATCGTTAGTTTCTTAAAAACTTCGATCAACTACGGATGCAAACAAGTACTGTTCCGTAAATTTATATCGGGGAAAATATTATGTCTAGTCATTTCAGACTTTCGAACTATATTCAGGCTTGTTTTTTGTCGAGCCTTCGACTTTTGTCGAAAAAGCGAGACATAGCGATCATACATTCCGTCGGCGTCGGCGTCGTCGTCGTCGTCGTTGTCGTCGGCGGCGTCCACAAATATTCACTCTGTGGTTAAAGTTTTTGAAATTTTAATAACTTTCTTAAACTATTCTGGATTTCTACCAAACTTGGACAGAAGCTTGTTTATGATCATAAGATAATATTCAAAAGTAAATTTTGTAAAAAAAAAAATTCCATTTTTTCCGTATTTTACTTATAAATGGACTTAGTTTTTCTGCCAGTTAACATTACATTCACTCTGTGGTTAAAGTTTTTAAAATTTTAACAACTTTCTTAAACTATCCTGGATTTGTACCAAACTTGGACAGAAGCTTGTTTATGACTAAAAGCTAGTATCTAAAAGGAAATTTTGTTAAAATTTTGTTCCATTTTTTCCGTATTTTACTTATAAATGGACTTAGTTTTTCTTCCAGTTAACATTACATAACAGTCTGCAGTTTAAAAGTTTTTAAAACATTTATTAGATTCATAAACTATCCTGGATTTTTACCAAACTTGGACAGAAGCTACTTACAATCAAAAGATAGTATAGAGAGGAATATTTTTATTAATTTTTTTCCTCAATTTTGTTGAGCCTGTGATTAACAGCAAAAGTAGGCGAGACACTGGGTTCCACGGAACCCTTACGAATTTTTTGGTAAAATAAGATGAAAATATAACAATAAAAATTCAGTGGTCGCTCTCATTTACCAAGAAACAGTTTTTTAATCCGATAACATGAGATCTTGGTTTAAATTATAAGTAGGAATTTAAAACCATTAAACCATTCTTTAAAAAAGTCTTTTAACTACCTTTGGTTTGGTCTTTTTCCCGAGGAACAATTTTCATGTGCTTTGCCTCCTTGTATACAGGCAAAGGTAATAGAGTAAAACCGCAACTCTGGCTTTATATTCCTCTTTTTCGTGCAGCTGCTCATCTTCGCTAGCCAAAGGTTACGATCCACTTCCCTCCTTTCCACGAGGGAGGTGGATCGTAACCCTTGGCTAGCGAAGATGGCAGCTGCTATAGTTTTTGAGTCTTATTTTCTTCAAAACATCTTCAAAATCATAAAAACGGTCTCCATTTCTTAAAACATCTATCGCATTCGCGCGTTTGCAATCCGATACCTCATCCGGGGACAAAAATCGCCGCATGATACTGCTGCTGATATCAAACATTCGCGCACGCGCATATTTGATGGCCGGACGAATAGACACTCCGAAATATAAAACTACTCGAATTGAAAGTCAGTTTCGTAGCAATAATTTTAGTTGCAATTATTTAACTCTTTTGCGGCAGTTTTCTTTTAATTTTTAAGATCGGTAATTGTATAGATAGATATGTTTTATTCGGTTAAAGAGCTCCCCCGAGCTCGTGTTGTAATTGTTATAGTGTGCATATATATGCCGACTCATTATTGTGTTTTATTACATACAACATGTACAAGAGGGTCTGGATGTGGGATTCTTCATCTCATTAATTTTCTGCCAATTATTCTCTGTTCTGAATATTTTTGAACCCCTTTATTTTCTATTCTTTTTTTTTTTTTTTTTATTGTTTGCCCTATTTTTCACTTTTCTTTATATTTTTGACTATTTTCTGTAGATGTGGTCCATATTTTCTGTAAACCCAATCCATACCCTCATACAAGTGATATAACACAGGCACTCATCCACTCGACTCCCTCCTCATTTACTGCTGAAGACCCACTTTTTTACTCGCAGATTTCTCAAATAAATTTTGCGATATGTTACATCATAGATATAATAGCCATAGATAAAGTACTTAGAATTTGTCACACTGAGCCCCATGTAGTTTCCTTTGAAATATCAAAAGCAGGGCACTGCGCGTAGTGGCCTATGATGTAGATGATATTTGCCGACATCCTCCCAATAGACTAATTACTTAATTGTATTTAAATTATCGGGCACTTGTCTTATCAGCCGATAATTAATATGCGTTACCTGTCTCAGGTAATAATATGCCGTGACGCGGAAGCAATATAAAGCATCTTGTTGTAAAAGTTGTTCGGATTGTAATTTATTTGGAGAAAATCGGTCAACAAATGAAAAGGTTATGCTGTTGTTGAAATAATAAAATAGAGAAATCATGGAAAATGGACTTAACAGGCATGTAAAATTAAATTGTCATAGCACTTGCATCGGTTGCACTCGGAAAATAAGACCTGTATGATTTACAAGAGGAGACATATCGTTTACTGATGGTATACGTGGTTAAGAGGTCGAACCTGGTCGAATTTTTCTATGGCGAGTTAAAGAAATTTCTTTTTTATCGAGATTCAAAATAGTGTAATCATATTTTATGCCAGAAAGAAGAAATTGTTATTTTTTAGAAAAGAAAAAAGATTTTTACAAGTGTTGAAACTTTCTGTCGTAACACGAAGTTTTAGAAAATAAAGAGAAAAAAAGGAATACATTATAAACTTATTAAACGCCGTTTGGTGAAGAAAACGTATGTAGTGGACACACTGAATACATTAAATAATTGGGAAATAGCACAATCATGTCTCTGAATTTGTTTCTTCTATATACCTTTCCGCTTACCATTTTTGTGCTTGTTTTGCTATTAAATAGATGGTGGTATAATCTGATTGTCGATTTCATTTTTGAAGTAAACAATATATAGATTAAGCGTTATAATGGCTATAATAAAATGAAAATATGGGAGTTTTGTCCTGTGTCATTCATGGTTTTTGCCTCTTCCTTCTTACAATTGTGTTAGAGGTGTGATTCGTACTATAAATACAGCTATATATCCCTTCCGGCGCGGGACGTTTGCGCTTTTACATAGGACGTTTGTGTTTTTTAAATGGACATTTGCGCTTTAACAATATTTACTTCTCATGACTTCCCTCCTATTTTATCCGAGCTTTGGACCTGGCAGAGTTAAAAAAAAGTCGTTTTTTTATTATGGTTAAAAGTCATTACGTAGCACATTCGTGTGTCTAAAAGTCTCCCGATTCACAATTTATTAGATATCGATCGACGGCAATTGCCAATGAAGGCTAATTAACACCAAGCGTGACATGTATACAATAAGGGGGTGATAAAATTTCGGCAAATATCATCTGCTTTTGATGTGGGTCCAGTACTATCTATGGCTATTATATCTATGGTTAGATGTTTGCTAGGTTAAAGTAAGTAACTTAATGTTGTTCTATTCAAGATGTAGATAAATACCCGAACAACATGAGCTTGACGTGTGATAATTAATTAACTACTAGTTTATCAGCTACAAGCGTGTGTAAAAAAAATATGATGTATGTACACAAGTGATAAATATGATGTGTGTGTAGATAATTTAAATTGCTGAAATACTATTAATGTGTAAAATGTGTAAGGAAAGCAGTATTTTTTTTTTTTAAACTTTGCAGAGTGGTAATGGAATACGAATAGTAACATATACTCATAAACATCGAAGCGTGGTAACTATGGAGATTGCTAAAGCGGTATGTATATTTCATGTTATAACGAATAACTAAAGCATTAGCACTGGTAAATAAATGATTGGAAGACTCTCAGTGAATGAGAAATTCGTCCTCAGACATTTTATAAAAAGATGCTCTTAATTCAGATTTTGAATAGGTATGGCTAATTTCACTCGTTTCACTCATATATATATAACGCCTAATTTTACAAGTTGTTGAATTTGAATATGAAAGTGTGTCTTCTTCATATACTTTACTTATAACAATGTTACATATTTCCATAAAATCAAAATATTATCAGCGCTACATGTTGCATTGCTGTTAAAGGATTTTGATGCATAACAGATAATTTAACGGGTTTTTTTGGTAGAATTTTATATCAACAACAATTATACTTTATTTGATGAGGTTTACACAGCAAGTTATTCAGTTTATCTTCCCTGAGGCCCTCGAAATGGCGTATCGAACAAAAATCATTCAATGTGTACATGGTGTATCCGATGGACAAATCTTGAATATATATTTTTTTTAAACATAATTTTGTTTTGGTACATTGTAAATTAATGAATGTCCGTCTTGTAGATTTTTATTTATAAATTGTCAAAATCTGTCAATATTGCGGCTTTGGGCCATCCCATTATATTCATAGAACCCCAAAGTACACATATGGAGCTTAAAGACTTTTTGAGAATGGTCCTTGTGTGAAAAAAATCCAGGTGAACTTGGCACTACACCTTTAAGGCTAATACAGGAAGAGATTTATGGGGAAGGATCAGATAAAGTGTAAAAAGTAACGCCCGAACATTTCTTGTGAAAATTTTCTTTACTTATGTGTGTAAATAAGAGTCAGAAACCAATACAATGTGGTGTTTGTAGTGTATATATAAAATAAATAAAATCATATATCAACTATTTGTGGTTTGATTTTTTATTGGATTTTATCCTGAAATGTCAATGTTTTTTGTCTGCCATTTTGTGACATTTCGTAGGCCTTTGAAAAAGTTGAATTAGAATATCACTATGTCAAATTGCATGTTCTCCAGCTTTATTGTTATTGAGAAATAACATGTCGAGGAACACTTCTAACCTGTGAGTAGGAATAATTTGTGCAGATTTATTGAGAAAAAAATCGTCAAAAATCACTGTTTGCCCATTATGCTGTCTGTCAAAATATGACCCAACTTTTAACTTTGTTTACTGTTGAACTGCAATGTCTAATATAACCCTACAAATTTTCAGGAACCTTCAAATAATAGTCCTTTAAAACTTGCTAAGAAATATTGTATTGAGACATAGATATTTCAAAAGACTGCATTTTAAATTTTAAAACGTTTTGTCTGTCAAAAAGTAACGGGCGATCAAACTGTCTATATTTACATGAAAGAGTGGTATACATCATCGCATCATGTGCTTTGTAACTGGGTTGGGTACACATGATTACTATGTCATAGATCTATGTGTCAAAAATGGACAGTGTAACTTGCAGAAGGGTACTAAGTTTAGTGTCGGTCAAATATTTTCTCGAGAATAACGGGCGTTCTAATATTTAATGATTGTACAAAGTGTCTCATATGAGATACAACCACTAAGTATCATGTTATGGTTATATTTAACATAGATATTGTGACAGTTACTGACAATTATTGTTTGTTAAAATGAAATATTTTAATGAAAACAAGGAAACTATTTTTGCCCATTACAGTCCAAATAATTATGACGTCTTGCAAGGCTATTTTAATTTTTTTCTGTGACTCCTGTCGTAGGAAGGCGTCACAGAAATAATTAAAATAGCCTTGCAAGACGTCATAATTATTTGGACTATGCCCATTACTATTTGACAATAAATAAACGAACGACCGTTATTGTTTGACCTCCCTGTGTAACGGGCGAACATTTGCAAGTATCTATCTCATTGTTTTGAACAGAGAATATCATGAAACCAGTGAACTGTTATTATTCTACCCTAACATTGAAATTGTGCAATAGAAAGGCGAAGTTGATTCATTCAGTTTCAAATTCCACAATCATATAGAACAGGTGTTATTTTTGACAATATTCCCTAAAATAATTAGTTTATAAGATCTTATAATTTCTGTCGAACTGTGTTGATATACGCAATGTTATTTAGTAGTATGCAAGAAATGCTGGTCCTACATCTTTGATTAAGTACCAAAGTTTTTAGTACATCATTTCTTTTCAAATTCTTATGTATGATTGTAAAATTTAACTTGTAAAATGTCAAACTGTCAAACAAAACTTCTGTCACACTATACAAATGAATTATCATTAGTATCCATTTTCTATTGATTATTTATGTTTACATACAACCATTTTGAAATATTTTAACAATTCTGACTCTTCAGGTGTCCAGTTGTGAGAAATTAGGTTGAAAAATAAAAAAAATATACAGCATATTTTTGTGACGCCCGTTACACGAATGTGACATGTGACTTATAAAATGTCAAACTGTCAAACAAAACTTCCATCACACTATACAAATTAACCATTATTAATATCCATTTCCTATTGACTCTGTGGGTTTTCACTACTACCAGTTGTATAATCTTAACCATTTTGACTCTCCTGGTGTCCAGTAGTGATTAGTTGGAATGGAAATTAAACAAACATACATCATATTTTTGTGACGTCCTTTACTTTTTTTAACCTCATTATTCTTTTGAACTTTAAACTTCCAAGATGTGCATTTTCAAGAGTTCAAAACAAGAATGAAAACCTTATAATTGAATTAATTTGAAATACATTTCAAACTTTTTAAATAATCTGAAATTAGCATGTCAAACTAGTCAATGTAACGTCCATCACAAAAGTTGTGCCTTTGTTTGAATGTCTGTTGACAAGTATTGAACCAAAGAACTATCTCTATAATCACACAAGTCAACTCTGAAAAGTTGAAGATTCCTCTGATATATTTAAAATCTTGGTATATGGGCTTAAATGTGATGGACGTTATGTCACACCAATGTTACACTTTATCTGATCCTTGCCCTTATATGTTTAATGTATTGTGTAAAATGCACGTGTCGCTCAGCAAATATATGAAATGTTTGCCACTGGTGATAAAAAAAAAATGAAAACAACACGTTTAATAATTTTATGCGTCCAAAGAGCTTTTCTGGATTTACCTTCATCAGGAACGCTCAAAGCCAAACATTTGAAATCCGAGGGATGTATAAGTACCGAAACAGTTGAAGAGCTATAAAGACAAAAATACATAAAACAAATAGCCAAATTCATCTAAGGTCAACTTTGCCTGAGGGAGTTGAAACCTTAGTTTCTTTATAATTTCAAAATTTATAAACAGACAATTTTAGAAAGGTTTGTTATAAATCATGTCAGTACCGAAGTACTGACTACTGAGCTGATGATACCCTCGGGGACTGAGATGAACTAACTTAGTAATACATTCCTTATTCAATACTTGATGACGTAAAACGATTAACATTTCAACTCATTGCTACCTTTAAAATTTTCTGGGTATAGCACTAAATATGCATCAGATATTTTCCACTGGACGTTAAACAAACAAGAATCAACCAATCAAATAAATAAATGCAATATTGGCTTTAAATAAAGACAGAAATAATAACACAACGATAACATATATACGATTAATTAATTAATTGATTGATTAGTTGTTGCTTGCTTACGTCCAGTGGCAAATATTTCATGCATATTTTGGACAATCAATATGTTGGTTCTGCAAATTAAAGCGACAGGGTAGGAGGACGGGAAATTGGGACTACCACTGACAAATAAGGATATGTTTTATAGTGGCCGAAATTTTACCTTGCATCAGGTCACCTACGGGAGGGTCCCTTAGAGAGTTGTTACAAAGGTTCTTTAACATACAAAAAGTGTGGCACCCAAGGGAGACTGGGGAAAAGAAATATGGTCACTTTGATCTTCTTCTGACCGGCAGTAAAACCCTTTCCAAAGTGGGCTTTCCGTTTGGCTGTGCGAGATGTACAAGTTCGCAGCCACGTCTTGTCAGAATGGTTACGTTAAACCCAAAACCCAACCGCCACGCTCTCTGCATGTTAAGAACTCTTGTAAGTACCGATTATCAGGTTGTCTGCATATTGATATTGTAAAATACGAGATCAAATAGCCTTCATATTGTGTCGAGCAATCTCAATATGCCGTTAACCTGATTATCGATTAATCGGGCTGTATTTGCGTCTTTTGGAAGTGTTTTCTTTGGTTCACCAGTAAACCGGAAGATGACTTGATAAGTTCGGGTCAAACTTATCAACGTCGGTTCAAACATTATGACGTCGCTGATATGTCCGGGTCAAAATTATTAAGGTCGGGTCAACGTATTTGACGTCACAAAGCCGTGATATGCAATTTTATTAAGAGCTGAGCAGAGTGATATAGACAGTGGGACGACCGATAAATAAGTAGACCCAATTCTTCCCGATAATAGAAAAGAAAGGATATGGGGTATCTATCCACGACACAAAATCAGCACATGTACAGCAAAACACAAAAAAAGGGAAAGAAACAGCGCTTTTATTGCTGTTCTTCATCTCAAAGTCACAGTGCCTTCAACATGGACCAAAACAATTCTCACCTCACTGCAAGTTTACGACGGCCCCTAGATAAGTTTAATTAAGTAAAAGTGAGAGTATCATATGAAAAAAATACTAAATATGCTGATCAGCAAGTTGGAAATTTACTTACTTTTGCTCTGTTCAAGAATGCACTATTTTCAAGAATTCATTAAGAGTAATTTATGCTTTCATTCCTTTGAAATCGAGAGGGTCGATATAAGTCTAATGAGAGAAAATGTTATATAAAATTATGTTGAACTGCTAGATGCTAATTTTCTTTTTGAAAGTCAACAACTTTTGTGCTATTTCGTGGCAGTCATTTTTTATTGATTGAGGGAGCCGGAGTGCCCGGAAAGAACCACCGATTGGAGTCGAGCGCACCTGCCACGTGCGGGGTTCGAACTCACAACCTCAGTTTTGACATGCTAGTGGTATACTAGTAGTAGCTCGACTACTGATCCCACTCGGCCACCGAGGCCCCCTCCAAAATTGGAAATTACAAAAAAATGTTTGAAATATAAAGAAGGACATGGTCCCAATTTCATTCATTTATAAAATATTGATTAATCTGATAATAATTTAATTTTGGATGTAACGCGTCTTCTGATTGGCTGACGTTGTTTTGTTTATCAGCTCATCGACATAATTTTATCATGTGACCGTGACGTCATCAACGTTTTTTCATGGTTTACTAAGGTTTAAAATGGAATTTAGAATTAAATTATAGGAAATGACTGTAATATTTTTTCTGTCTATTCGAAATAACATAAAAAATGTGGTGCACACTTTAAAATAACCCGCTACGCGGGTTTTTCAGTGTGCACCACATTTTTGATGTTATTTCTTTATAGACAGAAAAAATATTACAGTCATTCCTTAAATAAATGAAAACAATGATATTACTAAAAAATGTTTGCAAAAAAAAATTCTTGTGCTCATATATAGTTGAATTACAGAGAAAAAAATCTCTTTCAATGTTGTGTGTTATTTGAGACAATTTATTTAAAATTGTAAATATATTTCATTTATGTGATAATAATGTTCTTTTCTGCATAATATATACAAGAAATGATGCATGCAATTTTAATAAAAGTATTATATTATATTCACGCACGTACTTTTAATAACGGACATGTATTGAAAACTTCTTGTAAACATTATTGAATTAACTATAAAATGAGAGATACGTTTATGTAAGTACAACAGTTGTTAATATTTAATATGAATAAAAGTATTACACTATGATAATTACTTGTGTAGAAAATATTATTATGCCAATGTATGATATGAAGACGACAGTTGAAGAAATCAATTATGGTGTTTTAATAACTATTATAAATGTACAAATACTATTAGGTAAATAAAAGTGTATAGTATGTGGAGTATTTGATTGATTGATTGATTGATTAATTGATCGTTTGCTTAAAGTCCAGTGGCAAATATTTCATTCATATTCAGGCCGAGAACAAATTTTCTATTTCTAGTCTTATTGATTTTCATACATTTATCGATTTCCATATTCTTTTTTAAGGCACTGTTAAATATGAACGATTTATTGTAAGAATCTAGTTAATAATATTTTGTTTATTTCTCATATTTTTCATAATTTTCAGAGCTTCTGGTCTGTTGTTGACACCTTTTGGGACGCGATTGACGGTATCGTATATCGAGGCTCAAAACAGGAAATCCGAGATGCAATCCGATGCGGCAATACAGAAGAAGTCATTCATTTTATAGATAAATTCAACAGCGAACAGGTGAATTATTTGCCATTCCAATTATATTGTTCTCTCCCTACTAGAAATTAAAAAGACATCATACTAGATGGTACAAGAAAAGAATAAATTAGAGAGAAAAAAAACTCCTTCACTTTGTGTTCTTTTTTTTTTTAAATTATTGTTATATTTTATATATTCACGCAATATTTTGATAAACAAATAAGCTTCATCAGTCTAAACATCCAGGTAAAATCGAATGCTGTTAAGAAATTTTTGCAGCTTTTCGTACATATCCTTTAGTGTATTTTTGCAGCTTATTGTAAATTGCGATAAATAGATCAAAATAAATAATTGTATTAGTTTAATAGTATGAAGTTCAAGAATTATTCCTTTTGTTTTTGATAAAACTGTTTTTCATCTCTCTCATTCAGTCCATCAGGTTCAAGAGTACGTAGCTGATGCATCCAATATATATATATATATTATATATATAGATTGCCTAACAATGTAATTTTAACACACTATTTAGTATGTAAATATAAGAATGTTTAAAATATTTACCAAATGATGAAAATAAACGCAATATTTCATTAGACTTACTATAGCTTTATCAAGCGTGCATCTATCCAGGTGAAATCGGATGTAGATGATAAGAAACTTTTGCAGCTCAATGTATATGTTGCACTTGAATTTAGCTGCCTTGAAAATAATACATAATTTGGATGAAGTTCAAGATTTTTACAAAATTGGTAGTTGAAGTTAGCAACGTCCATTGGCCAATATTACAGGATAAAAAAGACGATGCTGTGTACTAAATTATTCTTTATATTTCCTGTATCTTTTCTCGTCTTTTTCATTAAGACCATCAGGTTCTAAAGTCTGGAGCTGATGTATCCAAAAGTTTTCTCTTCTACTTCTCGCCGTGGTGTCCCACTCGGTGATGACTTCTATGATTTGGAAAGTAACATTATCAAAAGGATGTTTCTTTGAGCGAAGCGAAGATGTCTTGTGAGAGGACAGTTTTTGTTGGTTTTGTACCATGAACGACGGTTATTAAGCCGAATATTAAATTTATCCATTGTTTCTCCCACATACTGAATGCCACAAGTGTTACATGTTAATACATAAATTGAGTTCTCCGTTTTACAGTTGAAATTTGAGTAGATGGTATAACTTTGTTTTGTAAAGGAGCTGATGAAAGAACTGCTTGTATTGGCAGCTTTACAACATAAGCAATTCCTTCTACCACATTGTTTGTAGCAACCGGGAGGTGGAGTAGGTTGCTTTGTTAATACAACTGTCACTAATTTGTCACGGATGTTTTTAGGTCTTCTGAAGGCCATGACTGGTGGTGAGGAACATACTTTGAATTGAAGTCATTTTCTACAATTTTCCAATGCTTTTGAACAATGGATGACACATTTCTGATTCAGCCATGCTGGATCTATGCGATCATTCTGGTTTTGGAGATGGTGCAGAATACTAAGTTGAAGACATATCATGAAACTAATTATGTGTTTTTATGACTTGCAGAAACTTTCTACACCATTTTAATCATCAACTGCCAACTTTTGACATGTTATTTGCCCTTAAATTAAGAAAAGATTGGTCGAATAACCCTTTTATTTTAAATATACACATGCATATAGTTCCTTTGTAAATCAAAATTTATAATGATTTACTACTTATGAATTAATTTGAAAAGTATTTGTACATCAATTGAATCAGTTGATAAGAATTTTGAAAGTATTAGATTAGTATCTTATCCTTGTGTAAGTGATTGTTCAATGAAATCTAGGTCAACATGTGTATTAATATATCTAAGTTGATTCCCACTCTTTTTTGAAATGGTATTATGCCAATTTTTTCCATAGGCAAGTAAGAGTCATTAAATACACTCAAAGGTGTAAGTGTTAATTGGAAACAGTCCCTGTCTTAATTCACCAAAGTTAATATCTCATGACCTGTTACATAATTAAATAGACACAATTTATTATACACCTAACTGAATACACACATTCTTGAACTAAATAGTATACCTACAAATGTATTATTTTTTTTAATTTTGCCTGCTAGCTGAATGATTAAACAGATGTGGGTTATTTTCAATGAAGAGATAAAAAATGAAAAAAATATGTATACAAAATGGAAGCAAATTTTATTTCACTTGTAAAAACAGTGTCATTATCATCTGTCACATAAGTCAATAATCAAGTTCTAATTAATTAGTTAGAATTATCAGAAATTTGGTTGAAACAATAAACAAAATTGCATAACTCTTACCTGAGCATTTTCTGCCATAAAATTTATTTAAAATTGAGAATGGAAATGGGGAATATGTCAGAGATTTTTGTTTCTTCTACATTTATATCCCATTATATTGCTATTCAACAGTAATTGGAAATATCTCAGCATTAGGTATTTGTTCATTTAATTTGAATACAGGAAATGTATTTTTTTTCTTAATGAAGAACGAACACCAATTTAGATAAAAAATAGCTATTATTTTTTTTTATTTTTGTTGTTGAGAAATTGGATTTTTAATGCCTCTTTCTGGAAATTATTAAGCCAGTTATTATTAATGACATATAAAAAGATATATTACTTGTTTGACGATTTCCATTTCCATTCTTGTCAATACCTTTAAATTGCAAATATTTATAAAAAAGAAATATGACAGAGTCTAAAACTGAAATATCAATATTTATATCAATATTTGCATCAATATTGCGAAATTCCCTACCTTTGGACAATAACATAGAAATTTTACAGTAAGATTGGAAATGAAAAGAGAAAAACATATTGAAAAAAGTATGGTCAGAAAGAATATTAGACTAGCTATGAATATGGCTGGATCACAACATCGACGATGCTTTGATTAAGATCAGGATGGTAAGTGAGTACAAGAGGTGTTCTGTTGACTCCTTTATTTTTATCCTTGTACTCCAGAAGTTCATGGTGACTAGTGTTGTTTGCTCTTTCGAAAGCTGTATCAATTATGTTGTTATTGTATCCTCGAACAACTAGTTGTTTGCGTAGTTGTCCAAGTTTAGCATTTTGCTTATTTTCGGTTGAGCATATTCTCTTGATTCGCAATGCCTGGCTGAATGGGATACCCCGGGAGCAGTGTTTAGGATGGCAACTTTTAGGAGAAAGAAATTGATGTTTGTCCGTTTTTTTCGTCTGAAGGTTCGTTATAATGGTTCCGTTCTGGATGTAACTCGTAGTATCAAGGAAGTTTATTTTCTCCATAGATGTTTCGTGTGTAAATTTAATTGAATGGTGGAAAGAGTTACAGTGTTGTAGAAATTCATTCAGATGGTCTTGTGAATCTGTCCATTTAAAATAAATATCGTCAATAAAACGAAACCATGATAAAATGAGCAAATATGTTGGCATATGACGGGGCCATTATTGTGCCCATACTAGTGCCGTCTATCTGGAGATAGTGTTTGTCATTGAAAGAGAAGTTGTTGTTCTTCAGCACTAGTTTCAGAAGTGTAACAAGGCACTCAGTTGGAGGATTTTTGTCACTACGAGTGTTCCATACCTCTTCACACGCTGCTATTCCTTCGTCTTGTGGAATGTTGGTATATAAAGAAGACATGTCCATGGATGCGAGTATAGTATTGTCAGGTAGAGGATTAAGGCTTTCCATTTTCTTCAAATGATCTGTCGTATCCTCAATGTAAGAGGGAAGTTCTTTAACATGAGGTCTTAAGTTATGGTCTACAAATTCGAATATCTTTTCAGTTGGGTGACTATTCGCTGAAACAATAGGTCGACCTGGATTGTCAGTTTTGTGTATTTTAGGCAACATATAGAATCTTCCAGCCTTTGCTTCGTCCTCAAGAGGTCGAAGATAGTCAAAGGTGTCATTATCGATATGCTTTTGGTTGCACATCTCTTGAAGGATGGTGTTGATCGTTCGAATGGTAGTTTGTGTTGGATCTGTGGTTAATTGCTTGTTAATTAATTGTATGAAATATAATACATGTATATATATTATATACATATAAATACGTCTGAAACAGTGACGACTCTACAACAGATTTTATCCATCGGATCACCAGCAGTGATGGTGATACAAGGCTGAAAATACATTCTGTATATATAATTCGGCTAAACAACAGCCCAACAATGTTAGATCTGTAAATTTGCGGAAGCATATTTTTTGTTCTTCCCTGGCCGGGATTCGAACTCATGCTACTGAGATATCGTGGCACCAAATCGCCTTGCACTATGCCCGACGCGCTAGACCACACGACCACCTAGGCACCAAATCTCCTTGCACTATGTTCGACGCGCTAGACCACTCGACCACCTGCACTATGCCCGACGCGCTAGACCACTCGACCACCTGCACTATGCCCGACGCACTAGACCACTCGACCACCTAGGCTTAGCATGGGTATTAATAGACCCATTCAATTTCTTAATTCTTATTTGTATTAACGACCCCACAGCCTTAATCCATAAACTGACGAAATCAACATATTGCAAAATAAAAATCGATCAACACTTTTTTTTTTATACAAACTCCATTTTAAAATGTAAATAATATTGTATACCTTCCCACTTTACATTCTCTTCTAAAGGTCGTTCGAGATTCCATCTGTTGCTGTATAGAAATGGGAAATACAGAAATGCTTCAATGTATTTTACAGAGAGTAGATGATTCAGGTATTTTGTTAGCTTAATTTTGAATCCAATGCATTATGGGTATTATTTTCATAAGCGTATATTCATTAAAACCATAATAAATAAAGAAATCGTCGATATTCCTTTAGATTCTGTAATTAAATTTCGCTTATATTTAAGTCATTGGTCGGTTTTTGTTGTTGCTTAACATACAGTAGCAAATATTACATGAATGTTCCTAAATTAACAATAAATCTAAACAATACATGTAGGTTCTGCTTGGTGTGTTAACCGGGATGAAGGACGGGAATTTCGACTGCCACTGGAAAATTATAAAAAGGTTATAATGGGAAGATATGTGTGCTTGTCAAAGGGCTTTTGAAAGTTTTCTTTAACCTGCAGAGAGTTTTGGACTCTCCCTAAACGAAACATAGTCCCTAATACAAACGGACGTGTCTGCGTATTTATACATCCCGCGCAGCCAAACGGACGCTATCGTACCATAAAAACTTAATGGTTACGGGTAAAATCAGGTTTGCTCATCTTTTATAATATCAGATATTAATGACCTATCGATGGTAATTTTAAAAGCGGTATTAAAGGTATCGAACCTCATTCGAGTGAAATCAACTAACCTCCCTTCATGGTTAATCGAGTGCTTCTTAAAATCTGAACGGGAAAAGTTATAGACAGAAGTAATATGTATCTGTCGTTATGAGGGGATTCATGGGATGTACACGGATATTGCAGAATCATGCCATTCTGCACTTGTAGAACTTTAGAACTATAACGTAACCTTTTCTTCGCTGCTTTCCAAACACGTTTTAGGAGATTTTCGGAAATCGATTGAAAACTAATTGGCATGGTAATGAAAATGAAAGATTCAAAACTAACATGCATCAAATATCTCGAAAGTACAGGAAATAGCAAAATATTGATACGAACAAACCAAAAATATTTGTTATAATGATAGAAACTTTTTTGGAAAGTTTAACTATTGGCTACTTTGAAATTATTAAAGAGGGGGTGGACAAGGGATACCCTTCTCCCACCTCCCGCCCCCTACCTCCCACCTCCCACTTTTAGAATATTTTTTTCTCTCCCACCTCCCCACCCCCCCCTCACCTCCCTCAAAAGCTGTCCACCCCCTCATTAAAGAAGATAAGACCTATTTTAGAATAAAATCGAAGAAATCATCTAGATTTCTGTGCTTGTAATATCACAAACAAAAATGAATTATATACCATATCAACAAACATCTCTTTTTACATGAACCTCTGGTTTTTCAAAATCTTGATGACATATTTTTTCCTTTATTGTTCATAATATATTTTATTTCAAAGGGTACGTTTTAAAACCATATCCGGAAAATTTCTAAAAAAACGAGGAGAAAAAATAAAAGCGAAAGAATATGTCTGTACGTGAATAGTAGTCGGAAAAATAATGAGAGAACGGAATTTTATTTCAATAGATAATATGGCCATTAAATGGAGTAGCCAATCTCTTGTATTATATGTCTACAGAAATAATAACTAGCCCATCTTTAAAACCTATGTAGAAAAGTTTATAGATATTAAATCAGTAGGAGACTATATCAAAACTATGAGATGTTGTATATTAAGTTTCATCTGTTTTCTCTTTTTTAGGAGGCAAAGAAAGGATGATCCTCACAAAGCAATGCAAAGACAATCGTAAGTTTGTCGAATAAATATTTTTCAGTAGCCATTTAAATGTTTAAGAATCAAATTGAAAAATCTTCAATCGATACAATTATGTGACAACCTATGTTACTGATACAAAAAGGGTACATTTTGTTTAGCTGCTACTTTAAACAAGTCCAATCACACTTGTTGTAAATACATTTTAAAAATGTTGTTTTTTTTGTGGGGGAGGGTAATTTTTATTGGTTTTTTTTTTGTTTTTTTTTTTGTTTTTTTTTTTTGGGGGGGGGGTAATTTTTATTGCTTTTTTTTGGGGGGGTTGGCCTTTAGCTAGTACTGTTTTGTTTTATTTTGAATATGTAGCAATTGTAAACTGCAGAATCTGTAAAAAGTATCATAACCCATTTTAGTTTCGTGATTTGAGAAGGCAACAAGTTTCTTATTTTTAAATCTCTTTATATTATATGCAAAAGGCATTGCCTTATTCTAATGGGTTTTTATTAAACGATATAATTATTTCATATTTAAGTCAACCAAGAACTTCAGCAAGCATATACAAAAAAATCTACAAGACAATACATCATTTGTTCTTTCTAGATTCTCCGTTACACATTGCCTGCAAGTTAGGAAACCAAGAGGCTACGTCATTCCTTCTTCATTACGGCTTCCTCGTTAACACTGTCAACCAGTCGAAGCAGACGCCATTATGGGTAGCCATATCAAAGGGAAATCACTCTGTATCTGAAATACTTCTAGCAAATATTGAAATTGATGTAAATATTTACGTGAAACAATCAGTAAAAGGAACTAGGTAAGTTTTCCATTGTATCATTTTCGTAACGCTAATTCTATTGCGGCAATATTGAAAGACTGTTAGTTTCAGTTCTTGTTTTGCTGTATTTCTGGTTTAAAACTTTAAACATCTTTTTGAATCATATTTCCATAAAGTTGGTTACCACAACCACTTCTCGCTACGCCTACTAGAATGACCGAGTAGTTACGATTACATACGAGGTTATTGTAGGCGTTCAGTGGTTGTCGTTTGTTGATGTGGTTCATAAGTGTTTCTAGTTTTTTATATAGATTAGACAGTTGGTTTTCCTGGTTGAATGGTTTTACACGTCATTTTTGGGGCCCTTTATAGCTTGCTGTTCGGTACGAGCCAAGGCTCTGTGTTGAAGGCTGTACTTTGACCTATAATGGTTTACTTTTACAAATTGTGGCTTGGAAAATATATGATGGAATCAAGATTCTCAGAACGTCTCAAAAATTTTCGATCATTTATACACTCAGGTAGTTATCTATGTCTTTGATACGGTCCCTCTATGGATAGGCTACCATGTGACATCGTATATTTCATCAATCACAGTTCATTTGTAGATTGGATAGTAAAACAATAATGACTAGATTGCAGTCAAAATATCATTTATATGTTAGAACCTATTTGCCTTTATGTGTTTTTAATAATTCAAATGTTTATTAAATATCAAGTATAATGAAAACGCAATTATATGATTCATGGTTTTAGACGATCCCTGTACGCGTTGTGTGTGTAGTATTTAATACTGCGTGCTGTTGTGCATTGTGACAATAAACCTGGGAATAGTTTATAGATATATAATGTCCCGGAATAAACTGATTATTTCTGAACGTTTATCATTTGATATTTTGTATTTCAATCATAGCATGGGAAAATGTTGGAAAGCATGAAGAAAATTAAGATTTTTTTAACGATATTTCTGTTATAAATATTTATCTTAGGTCGGAAACACAGTGGTCGGAAAGCAGAAAGATAATTAAACAAACGGATTTTTTTCTGTCACAAATATCTAATTATTTCATTAATAGATACTACCAGACCAAGAGAATATTCATTATTAAGGTTAAACTGAGAATGAATTTATTCTAAATAGAATATAATTTGAAATGTTATATATACGTGCATTATATAATTATGTCTCACAGGTTTGAACAGTCATTACATTTGTGAAAATTATATGCAACGTATGAGCACCAATGAGCAGGGATGCGTACCCAAAGTTAGCTAAATATCTTAATTTTAAACGGTAGTGAATGAACAAATACTTGCATGGTTTTAATTCACAAGGATTTTAAATCCTTGCATCTCACAAAAAACGTAATAAATATTTTACAGTAATCATAAAATTTAATTACTATGTTAATTATTTTATACTGTTTTAGTATGGTTTTATAAGTCTCTGCTTATATTTTGTATAGCAATATATCCATATAGTGGAAAGTTAGACTTTAAGAAGAGATTGATTTGATGCATAAAATGCCCATCCGTAATAACTTGACGTTTTATATTCTAAATTATCGGAAAATATTCATTAACAGGAATGTATGTTAATTATAGAATTTCAATTCTTTTTTATTTGTTTGTTTTAATAGTTAAACCTTATAGCATATTAATCTTTGCACTGTGGTACGATTTTGAAAATTGTATTCATTGTGTTGACCAGCTGTCATACACGTCTTGGTTCATTCACATTATATATAACCCTGTTCACACGCACACTATCGGTTTGCGTTCACACAAATTCCGGATTAAATGGCAATGAATCCGGAGTCAAAACACTTGAGGTAGGTAGAATTCAAATATTAGATTAATATATGTGATGACGCAAATGCGTATTCTTATCCAGAATATCAGTGCGTATGATTTCTATTTACTATTTCTTGCGCAAATATACCACGTGCATGCATAAATATTAATTTCACTCGCGAATGTGAATTTTCGCGTTTCTTATCTAAATTCAGGACACGGCAGTAAGAGCTTGACATGTGACTTTCAAGCATAGTCATCATTACTTGCGGAATTCTGACCTCTAGCTGTTTCTCTTTTCTTTTCTTTTTCGAGTCACTGTCCTATTATAAACCTTGACATTTTCGAAAGGAAATAGGAATAGATTACTTTAGATGTATTCGGCAAAACCTTTGTTTCGAAATTTTGGGTCCTGAATTTCTTTAAACTTCGTATTTTATTTGGCCTTTTTAACTGTTTTATTCAAGCGTCACTGATGATTCTTTGCAGTCTTAACTCGCGCCTGGCGTAAAGCATTTTAATCCTGGTATCTTTTTATATAAATTGGTTCTTTTGAGAGTATGTTCAGGTATTCATAAAACTTCTGAAAATAAGATATTCTTCAAAACCAAGTTTTCCAGTAGAAAATTTGGATTGATTTAAGTAGAATCAGGAAATCCTTAAAATTTGAGATGTTTTATGAGACCAAAATAAGTCTCTATATAAGAGGTCCCAATGAAGCTGGTGTGTTATATACTCTCAAGAAAAATACACGAAACCTTATAAGTTGCATGCAACTGGGTTTCATTTCACATGGTAATTGGACTTTAAATTTATCTATACAACATCTACCATGAAAATAGACAGCTTCAAATACGAGTTAAAAATAATTGAAGGCATCCAGGAAACAAAATATGAAGATATGATAGATAAAATAAATGCATGCAGATAATAAAGCAAACTGAGTGCTTAAATTTATATTGCGATTGGTTTGTGCAATCTGCATTAGACATCCGGTTTGCAGAAACTGGGATTTGCAATAGGATTATGAAAAAAATGGTGTACTCTTCCAAGTAATAAATAAAATAGTCGAGCCTTAAAATCTAAATTCAAATAGTAGCTGTATTTATACACTTTTCTATTCAAAACTATCCAACATTGCTTTCAACTGACTTGTGCAAGAATCTACACACAATTACATATTTTAACTAAATGTGTTTTAACATCATCATTATCTTATTCTATTCACAGTCAATTATTTCAATTCAAAAGCAAACAAAAATGCAGCAACAATTTTTTGGTGACCAGTCATCGGTCTTGGGTTCTTTTTTTTAAAGAAAGCAACTTGTTTGATAGATGGTTGTGATATTTGAGAAAAATAACTTATGAGTAGTTATTAGTTTGTTCGGATATATACAACTGTGTTTAAGGTCATTTCAATTTCTAATTGTGTCTTTTCATGAAAAAGCTGGTAAAGAATTTTTTTTCCAGGCATATTTTCATACTGATGATTAAAAGAAGGTATTCGATACACGTCCATGATAAAGCAAATCAACAAAAAAAAACGGCCTTCAACAATAGACAAAGAGTCCAAACCATATGTTTGCCTAAAAAATCGCCCAGAATCTAATAAAGGATAAAGGTGCGACATAAACTAACAGATTCTATCAAAGATTTGCCATCAAATACCAAATTATTTGACTACAACTACTTGTCATGACTCATATTCCTGACTTTAACTAGACATAGGAAAATGTGGATGGGGTATTTCATTTTTTAGCATTCAACCCTCTCTTTGTTTTCACCGGTAGTTGCAAGTGCGTTCAATTTCATCTTAATTGATTAGTTTTCCTTCCGAAGGTCGATGTTTCTCTCGGGCATTCAAATTCCCTGCACCAATAAAAACTGACCGCTATGATATAACCAATAGGTCTGAAAATGGCATTAAACGTCAACAATCAATCAGTTCAAATCCTCGTGTTTATGTCCCAATCCATTGAAGTTTGCAGATGAAATTTTTTGCGACAACAAAGCTTTTCTCAAACAATCAATCATGTGACGATAAACACTTGCGCTCAATATCAGAACTTGCATAAAAATAAATTTTGCACACCATGTCATGTTGAAAATGTCAAAATGAGTACAACTTTATCATTCGAGAGTACCTGATGAACATTACTTCATTATTTCTACAGGGAAACCCAGAATATAACGATTTTACTTCAGGCAGCCATAATTGACGACATGAAATCGGTTATTGCAATTTGCCATCGCAATCCAGATACGAACGTTGAAGATGCTACGGGGTATGTTGTATAGTGTAGATTAAACTGTAAATGCAGTTGAACTTCATCTCTGTTTCAAAATATAGCATTATATTTATTATTTGTTCAATATTATTGTTTATTGTGTGTGCATTTGAAGTGAAGTTTTTTGTTCTCTTTCTAAGAAATTCGCGCGGTCTTACCATCTTCTGATGTTTTGATATTATGATGTGCTTATGTTTCATTTCGTTTTGGAGTTGGTTTCAAATTATGGAGAACCATCAGAAACACGTGTTATGTGAGTCATATTTTATTCTTTATTTTTATACCCCGCAACTGAAAGTTGGGAGGCATATTGTTTAACCCCTGTCCGTCCGTCCGTCCCATTATGGGTACATAGCTATTCCAGATAACTCCTCCTACATTTTGAATGTTAGGAAGTTTTCACTTTGCTGGCTGTTTGTATATATATTGAAGGTGTGCATGTGGTCAGGGTTTTGATTTTTATTGATATTTGCTCTTTTGGGAGATAGTTGAACTTTGTCGTTTTTTGTAGTATTTACTTGCATAAGAGGTGCATAGTGTTTCAGGATAACTTCTCCTACAGTTTGAATGCTAGGAAATTTTCACTTTGCTGGCTGTTTGTACGTAATTGAAGGTGAGCATGTGGTCAGGGTTTTGATTTTTATTGATATTTGCTCTTTTGGGAGATAGTTGAACTTTGTCATTTTTGGAGTATATACATGTACATGCATAAGAGGTGCATAGCGTTTCCGGATAACTCCTCTTACAGTGAACCATAGACCTATGTGCTCCCATACTCAACTTTGTGTATTTTAAAATAACACTTTGCATCTGTGGGGGCATCATTTGTGTCTCCCAGACATAATAGTATCTCAAAGAAAGTCCTATATTGACTTTGTTATAATACAGTTACTTCAGAGTGGAGTGCGGCATCCCTTTGTCTAGTTTCTGTCTGTCATATGTCCTTTGTGCTTGACCTCATTTTCATGGTTCAAAGACTGCTTAAAACTATGTATTGAATTTTTCATGTTCATTTCTAACTTATTGTGAGTAATAGAATAACTTTATTTGGTATATGGGATCTTTGCATGGTCTACATGTCTTTCAAACAGGGTTCACCTCGTTTGTTGCACTCTTGTTTCATTCCAAAATCAAACAAATGTCTGAACTTTTAAGCACACCTGGCCAAAAGTGCCATTGTAAGCTTTTGCCATCACTTGGCTTTCATCATCTGTTGACTTTTTCTCCTCTGAAACTACTGGAACCAGACCTGGACACAATCACAATAAGGTTATCTAGTTTTATTTTAATCTTGACCATGTCGACGGTATTATTTAGTTTAATTGCGTTTTACTTAGTTAAAGTTATTCAGTTTTTTCATCCTAGAGTTGCTTTTGAGCTTGGTATATTGTAAAGACATTTGTCTATATTTAAAGTCTTGATTTTGAATTCTTTAATATTTTTTGTTTTGTGTTTTGTTTTGTATCATTTTGTTTGCAATTGCAATTTCCCAACCTTCTTCAATTCTTGTGTGTTATCGATATTTTCATTAATCCTCGTTTTATGTGAAACGTAGATGGATGGTTAAATTTCACAAAAAGACAAAGATGAATCTTAGACGATTATACTTTTTGTTTGAGGTTCCTCTAAACCATTTTGGATAACACCGTTTGGTTTATGAACATTAATGGTGAAGCTCATTCTAAAAAAACACGTGCAGTGATATGTCAAAATATTACACAACTTTATATTTTCTTAGGAGAACGGCTTTACATTATACAAGTTGTAACGGAAGAACAGATGGTGTTCTCACCTTACTGCATTGTGGGTCTGATATAAATAAACTCAGCAAAGATTTAGAATCTCCTTTGTACTTAGCATGCCAAAATGGCCATACTGATGTTGCAAGATTGTTACTTGAATCAGGTGAGAATATTTTGAATTAAAAGAAATAACCTTCAAGTAGAAGAGTAATTAGGTAATCGCCATTGGGACAGGTTTAAATCATAACTACTACCTACAATGATAGATTTTACACAGACCTGCAATTGGTCAACGGGCACACTTAGAGGTTTGGCTAGCTTTAAAACCAGGTTTAATCCACCATTTTCTACATAAAGAAACGCCTGTACCAAGTCAGGAATATGACAGTAGTTTTCCATTCGTTTCATGTGTTTTAGCTTTTGATTTTGCCAATTGTTAAGGGACTTTCCGTTTTGAATTTTCTTTGGTTTTTTTGTTGTTTTACTTTTTACACTATGAACCATTCTCAAAATCTCAATTGTCACTTTGTGAAAAGTTGAGCAAACAACTATTTAATCTTTTTAACTTTTTTGATTCGAACGTCACTGATGAGTCTTGTGAAGACGAAACCTGCGTCTTGCGTACACAATTCTAATCCTGGTATCTATAATAAGTTTATTTATATAAAATAACTGAGTATCCCATATGGATATCATATAGTAAACATGGATTTGCGAACGTCAAATCCCAAATTTACGATATAGAAGTGAACTTGTTGCTCCGGCAAACAACAATCAATAAAAAAATCAATATGTTGATCCGGTAGGGTAAGCTGTTCCTACTCCACTAGTTTATAGAATACGTAATCGTCATGGCATTTCTTACTTGCCTATCAAGTCTCGGGCACTGAAGCCTAAATGTTAACAAACTTCCTCATTTTTTCCTTTGTTTTTGGAAAATAGACTAAATTACCTTATCCCGATTATCAAGGACGTAAATCCAGTTCAAACAACCCTTTTAAAATGATTATACTTCGAAACTACATTTATTTAGATGGAGGTTTTCAAACGGAATTAGGACAACTCGGACCAAAGATGAATCGGACAAACACATCTCAGACCAATTTAAAGACAACTCGGACCAGTTTCAAACACTGTTCAGACCAATTTAAAGACAACTCGGACCAGTTTCAAACACTGTTCAGACCAGTGATTCGTCGTGGCTTTTAAATTTTTGTTGGTTTTTGTCTAGATTTGACTGAAATTGTTTTATACATATACATGTATAACATAGAAATCAAATCGAACATTTCAAAGTATAGACATATTCATAAAACCTTAAGGTTGTCTTTTAAAGTACACGGATGTCTGAGGACTCATTTTTAAATTAAATGCAAGTCAAACTATTTCTTTAAACAATGAATACGTTTTCATGTTTCTTTAGAAATAAAGAAGTTATATGTTATCAAATAAAATTATATTACTAGTACATCAATCTTGACTAAAATCCTCTTTCCTTGTATAGATATTTTAATGAACACGGATATCAATTTGATCCGAATCTTAAACACATGACACATCATTTATAACGACTTTTTTTTTTTAATTCATTAGGAATAAATTATTAGCTGATATTTAGAAAAATCGCCAACGTATTATTTACTACATTTATCGGCATTTCGTGCATAATTCCTTTTTGGTGATAATTTTTCATATCATGCTACTCGCTTGAGATGGAAAATTATCGTTAGAAACTTAAGGATGCACATGACGTTGTCAATGTATACATTAACGACGTCATAGGCAAACTAGCGATAAACAGATTATCAATGGTCTTTCAAACTCGAGGATGTCGCCCTTTGATGAGATTGTCGCTGAGAAACACTCTCTCGTTTGAAAAACCATCGATAATCTATAAGTATATCAAAAATCTGTGTTGATCAGCATATAATGTGAGAATTAAAAGAAAACACTGTCTTAAAATTTTCCATTTACTTTGTCAATAACACAGATGAAATGAACCAAAAAATATTAAATATGACTATTTGACAATTACAGAGACAACTATTTTAACTTTTCCATCCTCCTTTGCCGACTGTACTCTTTACAGCAAAGTTAAATTCTGTACTTTCGTCATTAGTTCAGATTGTTACATAAATTAAACACGACCTTAAAAGTAAAAAATCTCATCAAAAAGAGTTGGTTAATCGTCTGATACTTTCATGTTTTAAATGAGATATCCCAGCTGATGAACACATCTCTCTGTTTCTTCAATTTAAGTAGTAGAAGATGTAACATTGTTCTCTATGATTACCTTATTTTGGGCCTATTAGGACATAACGTGCGAATTGGTACTATCTTTCAGAGTTTCTTTTCCAAATGGTTACATCAAAAATTTTTCACAAAGTTGTTCTTTATCGTCACGCTCCAATATTTATCAATTATGGACTATTAACGATGTTAATACTCTATATATGGACCTGTTCAGATCATATTGATCGAGGACGAAGTCCGATGTTCAATATCATCTAACAGGTCCATATATAATTTTTTGACCGAGTGAAAGTCCTTAATTTATACATTACGTATATAAATAGTGTAAGTTTGAAAATGGTATTGACTCGATGTTACTATTTTTGGAAATGATATTGATTCGATGTTACTATTTTTATTAACATGGAGTCAATATAATTTTTTAAAATAGTAACGTCGAGTCAATATGTCAAAATTGTAAAACAAAACCAAATGTATATTGTGAAACACGTGACCAAATAAACCAATGATAAATATGTATTGTTAACGTCAAAACAGAAAAAAATACCGTTAACGTTCTTCAGTGGCATTCTATTGTTTCTGATTTGAAGGTCCACAGTAGAGGTCATTATAGCATAAAAGAAAGTGGAAAGTTCACTACCTTGCAAATGTTTTTGATCATACATTTTTTTTCAGGAGCGGTTATCAATAAAACAGAAAAACGAAATGAAACCATATCACAGCTAACGTGTCAAAAATATCCATTGATAACTGCGATCGAAAACCGTCACACCAACATCGTGTCTTTGTTAATTTCGCACGGTGTCGACATCAACCTTATTCTTTTAAATGACAGGAGACCATTGCATATCGCCTGTAGTGCGGGGACATTAGAAACAGTGAAGGTCATAATAAAGTCAGGTGGAGATGTTAATATCAAAGATTCATTTGGACAGACTCCACTTTTCTATTGTTTAAGAAGTGGGATGTTTCAAATTGTTGTGCGATTTTGCCGAATAAATAATATATATAGTAACTTTGATCAAAAACATAAAATCGATGAATATTTAAAAGTTTTAAGAGAAGGAAACAAAATTATGGAATATCTTTTAAAGTGTGGTGCAATCGTCAACTGTAAAGATATTCATGGATTATCTCCTTTAGATTATGGAATGAGGACACATCGGCATATCTCAACTTGTATTTTGTTGAAATATGGTTGCAAAATAGATCGGAAATATTATGAGGAAACATCATGGCTTATAAATGAAACATATAATTATGAATCAACAAATTTATTCTTTTTGTATATCTTAATTAAACATGAACTAAAATTCAGAAATGTACTACCGTTAAATATAGAAAGATCGAACATCATAACTGGAACCAGCACAAAAGATTTTATATTTGAAGAGTTCAGGAAACCAGCATCACTGAAAGATCAGACCAGAATTATTATACGAAATACAATACACGCCATCACAGGAAAAGAGTTTGAATCGAACATTCACGGCCTTCCTTTACCAAAGACACTTAAAGCTTTCCTTATGTACTGTGAAATTGAACCAATGTTAAATATCCAAGACGAAATTCTGTGAACATATTAAACTATAACCTCCTTATCTATAATTGAAGATTTGAGTACTCTTTACTGTTGGCTCTTACAAGAAAGCCTATCATAGAGGTCACACGATTTATATGAAATGTTTCTGTGGTATCGCGTGGTCTACAGTAAAATTGCATTAACTCTATCTCTATCACGATGCTTGGATAGACGTTTTTCCTTTGAAAAACTTGCTATTTTAAATTTACATTAATAAAAGTATTTAAATAACGGCATATTTTACTGCCAATGAGATTAGATTTGTTAACGTAATACCAATGTTGTTAGCTTTATCATTTAAAAATATTATTCACAAATAACGTAACCAAGTATCGGAATTTTGATTAGGCCAAATCCAGATTACAATTCCAAAACTGAAAATGACTAGCGTACTAACAAATGGAATTAATTGCAACAACAATATCATAACTTACATGTTACGAGTTCTTTCAAACGGTGAAGTTGATAGGCATGCAAGAGGTCATGGCTTTAATTATTTACGTTTATAAATGCTGCATTAGCTGACAACATTATATGTCAAATCATTCTACAAACAAAACATACATTAAATAATATTATCTTTTTATCGCTGTAAATATTTTCAAAGTATTACTGAAGACCCCCTTTCACTGCGAACAGAATTTTTGACAATCTAAAGGACAATTCCTTTGTAGATATGCATATGAGCCGGCAATGTACCGTTGTTTGTACGGAATTTTGTGAAGCTAAGGTATTCAATACAAACAAAGTAAGTCCTCAGATTTTCTGTTCAATGTAATGTTCTTTGAAGCCATGACGGACATATGATTAGCCAAAATCTCATCCTTGTCAAATGATATATTTTTGTACGTGTGATTACCTGAGTGCTCATTTATTCCTAAATCTTTTACAAGACACTCATAGTAATACGATTTACATACAAAGACAATATTATTTAAAGCTTTGTCCGCAGAACAACAACATATTTATCGTGAAGATATGATAGACATTTCACAGCTTCTTTGTCTCTGAAAACGGACTTTGGTCAATCATTCTTACAGTTTTTCAACTTATGAATTCGATGTTTTATGAGAGACCTGATTGTTTTGACCCATTCTGACAAAGTGTCCAGTTCAACTTCTTCTCGTTTAGCCCATGCCCTGGCGTAGTCCTCGATTAAATCCATAATTATTTCCTTGGTGTTGGGGTTCTCTGAACTTAGGACCATGAGATATCACCTTTCGTAGATGTTCATGTTGAATTATGTTTAGATCCCCAGTAATAACATGGCCAGAGGGGATGTAAATATAAGACGAGTGGGAACAGTCACATGTCCGAGTTTTTTTTTTTTTTTTTAATTCTTCTAAATCAAGGTCCTGCAATGCAGTTAAATACTTTAGGTGCAATGGTTTTGGTATAACTGTTGGATACAATAGGGAACAGACTGATTTTGAAAAAAATGTGGAATTCTAGATGTTACCTCCTTGTGATGAAGAACGTTGCTGTTGATTGGATCAATTCCTTTATTTGAAAATTGAACTGGAAGGAATTTCCTATTTTCATCATGTAAAGGTTCCGATCTTACTGGTTTAAAAAGACGGAAAAGAGACTCAGTATTAAAAGGCAAATAATACAGTAGATGAACTATGTCACCTAGGCTTCGTGATTACCAAATAAAATATCTCAGGAGCTGTGGCAAATATTGAAATAATAATGGAGGTAATAATGGTCAGAACGAAAAGCTCTATTTATAACCTGATTAAAATTTCTGAAAAATTGGTCATCCAGTTTTGGAGTAATTGCCTTTGAAATGTTGTTTTTGACTTTTCTGGTAGTTCTTGGTTATTGTTCCGAAAGCTATAGGAGCTTGGTTAAAAGTTACTTGATCAACATTTCAGTCTAGCCTAAAAAATCCGAAAAATCGACCGGCCTTATATAGAGTAATAACCTCTTAACGATAAATTTCAACAAAGTTTCAGTTTTCACTTTTACATTAAAAACAAAAGCAGCTATATTTAGAATGAAATTCGTAAATATGAGATCAGAACGACTGAAGTTTGTGATGTTATCTTGATAATTATGACAGCTATGTAAACAGAGTAAATTGAAAAAATAATCAGCACAAAAAAAAAATATCTATCTTGAAAAACATCCGAAGAATCCAAGAACCTATTTTGGAGTTATTGTCTGTTCTATATTCATTTAATAATTTTCTGCAGTTTTATATTTCTGTTATCTTGAAAACTATATCAAGTTAAAAGTTTTAATTACAGAAAAGATCAAAATGACCAAATCTTACCTACATCTTATTTATTTTTAAGAAATTCTTAATATTTGTTTAATTGGAACATAGCGAATGTCACAATTCAATGAGAGAACTTTTCTTGTTTAAACAGTCTCTCATGTTACACTATTGTTTCAGATAAGGGTGAAGGTTTGGTACCATTAAAACGTTTAAACCCGCTGCAATTGTTTGCACCTGTCCTAAGTCAGGAATCTGATGTTCAGTAGTTGTCGTTTGTTGATGTGGTTCATAAGTGTTTCTCGTTTCTCGTTTTTTATATAGATTAGACCGTTGGTTTTCCCTTTTGAATGGTTTTACACTAGTAATTTTTGGGGCCCTTTATAGCTTGCTGTTCGGTGTGAGCCATGGCTCCGTGTTGAAGACCGTACTTTGACCTATAATTGTTTACTTTTATAAATTTTGACTTGGATGGAGAGTTGTCTCATTGGCACTCATACCAACTCTTCTTATATCTATCTCATAGTCAACAAGTACATATTTATGATCAGAAAAAAATGTTGTTTTGCAAATCATGTTTTACCCATGTTGTTTGATAATTGTGATTAATCGAATAAACGATAAGTTCAAAACATTATTTATGCCCATATAACGAAGCTGCAATATTGGTTTACCAATGTTTCAAACCCACTAGTATTTCTATTTGAAGATACAGTCTGTAATTAAGCAATTTTCGATCGTTACTGTCTGCCATGCTTCTTTTTCGTTTGTGATTTTTATACGACCGGTCGTATATTGGTATGACGTTGGCGTCGTCGTCGTCGTCGTCGTCGTCCGAAGACACATTGATTTTCGCACTATAACTTTAGTTTAAGTGAATGGATCTCTATGAAATTTTACCACAAGGTTCCATATCACAAAGGGAATGCTGAGATTGATTTTGGGTGTAATTGCTTCAAAATTTTTGGAATTAGGGGCCAAAAAAGGGGCAAAAACAAGCGTTTTCTAGTTTAATGACAATAACTTGTGTGTAAGTGTATGGATCTTTCTGAAATTGTACTACAAGGTTCCATATCACAAAGGGAAAGCTGGAATTGAGTTTGGGGGTAATTGCCTAAAACATTTAGGAAAAAAGGGCCAAAAAGGGGCCAAAAATAAGTATTTTTTTCTAATTTCCAGACAATAACTTGTGTTCAAGGGTATGGATCTCTCTGAAATTGTACTGCAAGGTACCATACCACAAAAGGAAGGCTGGGATTGATTTGGGGGGTAATTGCCTCAAAATTGTAGGAATTAGGGGCCAAAAAGGGGCAAAAAACAAGCATTTTTCTAGTTTTAGGACAATAACTTGTATGTAAGTGTACTGATCTTTATGAAAATGTACTATAAGGTTCCATATCACAAAGGAAAAGCTGGGTTTGAGTTTGGGGGTAATTGCCCTAAACGTTTAGGAATTTGGGGCCAAAAAGGGGCCTAAAAACAAGCATTTTTCTAGTTTCCAGACAATAACTTGTGTTCAAGTGTATGGATCTCTCTGAGATTGTACTGCTAGGTACCATACCACAAAGGGAAGGCTGGGATTGAGTTCTGGGGTGATGAATCATAAGGGGGTTCAAAAAATTTGGGGGAGGGATTTTTTTTTCATTTTTTTCCTTGTTTTTTCTTTAAAATTTTCCATTTTAAATTAGTTATTTCTGATTTATATATAAAAACAAATAATAATGATATGGTTTGAATAGGTAAATTAAAAAATTTTAAGTTCTTAGACCACATTTATTCTGTGTCAGAAACCTATGCTGTGTCAAATATTTAATCAAAATGCAAATTCAGTGCTGTATCAAGCTTGAATGTTGTGTCCATACTTGCTTCAACTGTTCAGGGTTCGACCTCTGCGGTCGTATCAAGCTGCGCCAAGCGGAGCATTTTATCAAAATTTATCAGACTTTTGTCTTTGAACTGTTTCAAATATGTCATGTCGGATCCTTTAATAGCTTATTATAAACCATTTGTCCATTAAGAAATAATAAATTAGTACGAAAATAATTTCGGACATTCGTTGCAAATGTCCTCAGTAATGAACTAACCATGTATATAGTTTAAGTATATTATTAACTTCAAAACAGATTGAAGATATTTTTGAATAGTCTCTCATGGTCAGCCACTTAAATAACATTTAAAGATATTCAGTACTTTTAGATCGTTATTTTGTGTATTTTTTCATGCTTTTTATGTTTTTTTTTTTATTTAATTTTCATATTTTATTGAAATCTCTACATTTGTTATTTGAAAAACATCATGTATTTTGAGTATGGTTTTTAAACAATAATTTTTTTTTTTTTTTTTTTTTGAAAAGTTATCTTTCTTGTTTTAGTTTTGTATTTGCACAACGAATTTCTCATAAAAGAACCAATATATCATATGGTAATTATATTTCCATTAAATTATGTTCACGTACACACATTCTAAAAATAATTGGTCAATCACTGAAAAGTATGGCAAAAGCATTACAACTCTTAATAAAAAATATCTACTCTTTTATTTTAAAAATCAATTAGTTTTTCAATGCTATATTGAGACTTAAATTTCATTTTGCACTGACTGCAATGTTTAAGATTTTTTAAAATATTTGCAGTTAAAATATATTGTTTTATTTGCAGATAAATCAAATTAACAACATCCCCCTTAATGCTTTTGTAATATCTTCAAACAAAACTTTTTAAAGTGAATGGAACACTTATACCATTTGACTAAAAAACCAAGGGTCAATTTCATCTATAAATGTTTGTACAATCTCTTATGAGTTATGAATTTGTTTACGTTTTAAGTAAAGTTTAAAGGGGCATAAGCTACGAGATATAAAAAATATCAAAATATGATTTTTTTTGTTCAATCATTCATGAAAGTGAAATAGTGAAATAATGATTCGCTTTTAGTAGCCAGTTTGGTTCAATTTTGTCAAAATAAGCTAAGAAACATCGCTGATAAATTATTCACTTGCAAGTGAATAATT